TCGCCGACCATGCATATGGTCCGGGGTTCTATCCCCAGCCAGCGCACTCCTTTCCCTCGCTAAGCCAGAAATAATGCTGGTGAAGAGGAAAGGTTGGGCATGAGGCTAGCAACCCCATCCTGTAAAAATAAACACCACTGCTACCGAATCTTCAAGCCTCCAGCTTGAAGCCCGATGTTCCACTGGGAACGTGAAGGAATAATAAATATAATAAAGTAAAAAAATGACTCTGTTCGGCGAATCTTACATAGTTATAAAATGCATGGATAAATCCTCTCTTCAGGAAATAGGTGGGGATGAAGACTGTTTTGGAGATTGACCACATACCCCATCCAATTTAGTACCAAGAAACAAAATATGCCTTAATGCTTGAAGATGTGTAAAAAAGGAGCTTCAGACAATACAAGAATTAATCGCTCTAGTAAAACCGTGAATTATGAGAATATTTCTTATTGTGTATATCTCAGGGCAAAGCATGTTTTATCGCATAACCTTTTTGGATAAGACATATTTTTGTTCCAATTGCAGCTTATTTTTTCCCTTGAAGAACTTCTCGGTACTGCTGTTCCCTAATCCAATTGCAACGGCCAATAAACTAGAGAAACACGATAACCAAAAGACGAACATCTGACCAGTCTGTATACACTAACGCCTAAACAAGTCAGACGACCGTAAGGTTACTCAGGACCAAGGGGCCTATAGGAAGAGTTTTACTATTGGTGAATTTATTGAGTTTTCGCTCCCATCTGGTTTCATCTTAGGGTTCCCATGAAACCACGAGAAGAAAGGTGGATATTACCATATAATTGGTAATCGATAGCTTCACCATTATTCCCAACTTAGTCGTGGCCATCACTGTTAAGATTGACTAGTCAAACTAAAGCACACCATCTGCAACGCTTTATTTAGCTAGGGACTACAGGCTAGTTAGGCATGCGGCGCTGATCTCAAAATGCATTTATTATTTTGGAAATTCAATCTATGGCCCTGATTCGCATCACGAACGACTTTCTGATACAAGTAAAATAGGTACTTTTGAGTGTTGAGAATAATATGCTCGAATTATAATTTGTGCCGTCAGAATGTTCAGATAACTTCTTGACTTAATTTTATAGCAATACTACCTCTTATATTTATAATGCGATTAACCACAAAGCCAGTATGAGCCTTATGTTATTCCAGCTCCACATGTTTGTTGTTGTTTCGACGAGCGAAGATTTGGGTATTGACCTACCTCTTCACATACTCACATTACATCTTTCTACTACCACCCACACCCAATCTATTATGTGATTATGTGCGAATGAATTCATTGCTAGTGCTGAGATTTTTTCCAAGTTATTTGACCTGGAATGGTTAATTATTCCAGATCGATGTAAATTTCTGAGTTATGCTAGGTGACCTGACGCCGATCTAATGCACTGACTTATGAAATTAGGGTCTCATTAATTACATTACATCCGGTAGTTTATACTAATTTTCTTAATTGTATCTGTTGGGTGAGTGGGCCAACGACTTGGGATGGTAGAAGGGTGAGAAGCTTCAAATGTGCATAGGCAGCATGCTCTGGTCAAGTTTTACCGCATAGACAACACTAAATGGACGTATAGCGGTAGATAATTCCCCAGAATTATTGGCCACAGCACTCATCAGTGAACAAAGGATGCTGACCCTCACTGTTTAAGTCAACTTGTTTAGCTGAAGGTTTCCAGTCAAGCATCCACGCCATTTGGTACGCCATCTTGTCACGTCCGTTCGTTCGTGCACGATCCCTAGCTAGTTAGGCAATCATCTCGCATTCCGATTTGGTCCCGAAATATAATTCATAATTTGGACTCTCAGTTCTGCTGTTTTGCTTTGCCTTTGGTCTACGTGGAACGAATGCTTTAGAAGTTGTGGGTATTAGATCTTGCTTTAGTGTACTTCGTACTATCCTTGAACGTCAACACCCTTAGCCTCTAAAAACTCCTAGGGCCGTTCTGATGTGGCATCACCTTGAACAGTGTGGGGTTTCTGATTTGGGAAGTCTACAGATTCCTGGCATATGTGGAATATCACAAACTACATGTAATACAGGCAGCACCTATGGTCT